TTACTCAAATCCCTTACTCAGTGGTCATATTTCTGAATTAAAAAGTCCCTTCTCTTACCTTCACATGGCATCCACTTCATCCATGACTCCCCATTAATTCAATTATAGTTTTCTGGAGATCCAGTGAACAGAAATGAACAGAGCATTTTCCAGGGTAAGCACCTTCTATGATTGCTCCCCATGATCCCTGCCTCTAGGCGTTCATGGCCTTGTGTAATCCCCTCCCTCTGAGTGTGGGTGAAACTTGTGCCTTGCTTCTAACCAACAGAATACTACAAAGGTAATGAGATGTCACTATTATGATCAGATTACATAAGACAGTGACTTTCATCTTACTGGCCAGCTCTCTTGCTGGGTTTGAGGAAGCAAGCTGCCAAGTAGTTAAGGCCCACGTGGCAAGGAACTGAGGTGCTCAGTCCAACAACCCTTGAGGACTGAATCCTGCTCACAACCATGTAAGTGAGCTTGGAAGCAGATCCTTTCCCAGTTGAGCCTTCAGATGAGCCCACAGCCCTTATGCAGCCTCATAAGAGACCCTGAAGCAGAGGACCCAGCTAAACTGTCTGGACACCTTAACCACAGGAACTGTGAGCTAATAAATGTGTCCCTTTAAGCCACTAAGTTTTGGGGTAATTTGTTATGTAGCAATATGTATTCTTAAAAGAAAAAGTCCCATGGTTATATAAGTTTGGGAAAAGCTGTATACTATATACTTTCTTAGAGATGGCAATGCAGATTAGCATGGACTCAAGCCTGTTTCACTGGGCTCTTAGAATTAAATACAACATATATAATAACACGGACGGCACAGTGCCTGACACACAGCAGGCATTCACCAAAGGTTAGTTCTGCAATCTCTCCCATTTCCACTTGTCTACTGTTAAAGTAAGTTTACATTATGATAGAACACTTTCTCCTATCTAGTGTACACTTTCTAAGATATTTTGCTTAACTGTTTACATTCAAAGTACCTGCAACTTCTCTGTGTAGTAGGCACTTTCTAAATTAGATTTTAAAGCCTACAACGGGAAGGACCAAGCACGGCTTGCCAGATCCTAGAGATTTATACTAGCATACCTCGTTTTATTGTGCTCTGCTTTATTGCACTTTACAGATACTGTGATTTTTACAAGACCCTCTACCAGTAAAAAGATTATGAGTTGCTGGAGGCTCAGATAATAGTTAGCAATTTTTAGCAAAAAGGTATTTTTGAATCAAGGTCTGTACATTGTTTTTTAAGACATAATACTGTTGCACACTTAACAGACTATAGTATAGTGTAAACATAACTTTAATACACACTTGGAAACCAAAAACTTTGTGTAACTCACTTTATTGTGGTGGTCTGGAACCAAACCCACGCTATCTCCGAGGTATGCCTTTACGATAATCTCTTGTAGTCAGTCTATCCATGTTAGCTCAGCCATTGCTGAGCTATCTAGAAGAACTTGGTGCTATCCTGCTAACACCATCCACCCGTTCTATCATCAATTACTCTGAGCCCCAGGCCCTGATACAGAGAAAAGAACCCTGAAGGCTTTGAAGCCACCTAGGCCTGGGTTTGAAACCCCTACCATCTCTCTTCCTAGCTGAATCTGGTTTCCTCAGCTAGCAAATAGGAGTCATAACACTGACCTCAGTGTTACTGGGAAATTAAATGTGATAAAACATACAAGTGTTTGGCACATAGTAGCTATGCAACATTGTTACAATTCTCCGCTCTCTACTCTCTTCCTGAGTAAGTGAATATTTATTTCTTTTTTCCTTGTATGACAAAGTATTTCCTTAAAATCAAATTTGTGTGTTTTCCCCTAAACATTATTTAGCACAGAATTCAGAACTAGAGATTTTCACATTTGAATGGAACCTAAGAGCTCATTACCAATCATCTCATTTTTCAGTCAAGGAAGTGAATGCAGAAAGAGGCTAATCAACTTTTGTTACAAACTATAATACTGTCAAATCTTGGAAAAATAGACCCACTGACATCCTCAAATAAAATCAACAAAAAGGCAAAATATTAAGAGCCTAATAAAACTGGTTAGCAAGTTATATACCAGAAGCTGAAACTGGATAAAAATCAATTCTTGGAAGGCTGTGACTTTTCATCTATTCATGCTGTTCCACTTCACAGTTATTTTATTTTATTTTTTATTATTTTTTTTTTGAGGAAGATTAGCCCTGAGCTAACTACTGCCAGTCCTCCTCTTTTTACTGAGGAAGCCTGGCCCTGAGCTAACATCTGTGCCCATCTTCCTCTACTTTATATGTGGGACACATACCACAGCAAGGCTTTTGCTAAGCAGTGCCATGTCTGCACCCAGGATCCGAACTGGTGAACCTCAGGCCAAAGAGAAGCAGAACGTACACACTTAACCGCTGCGCCACCGGGCTGGCCCCCCAGTTATTTTAAAACTTAATAGTATGCGCCTTGCCTCTCTAACAAGACTATCCTTCATTATCTCTCCTCTCTCCCCTACTCGATACTCCTTTAACGACCTGAGCATATACTTAATGCCTACAAGGCACTATGGGGAACACAAGAAATAATGTCCTGGTCTCTGCCCTCAAATAGCTCATAAGATGAAAAGCAATATACAAATGAAAAAGTAAATAAGATCACTGTCAGTGGAGAGGGCCAAGAATTAGAAGATCCAACCAAAGGAGGAAAGAAGGTTGAGATGGTCAGAGAAAGTGTCACAGAAGAGCTGGGGCTGAGGTGGTTCCTGAAACAGGCTTTGTAGGAAAGAGACAGGGAGAACATTCCAGGTAGGAGAAATATGGGAAAAGAGAAGCAGACTATAGATGGCACACTCTGAGGACAGTGAGTGGACCAACTCGGCTACAGGAATCATCAGAGGGGAGACAGGAAAGTTATAATCACACTCTGCAGGGCCTCAGCCTGAATCTGTGCTTTGCTCTACAGGGCACAGAAGGCCTTAAAAGTCTCTAAGCAAGACTGTGACAAATGAAAGCAGTGTTTGAGGACCATTACTTTGGCAGTCAGACATGCATGGGCTGGAAAGGAGGTGGACATGAAGAGTAGTACCTGAGCTAGGGTCATGGCAATGGGGAAGCAATGACACATAAATCAACGTGAAGAATAGACTGAAACAGTTACTGATTACAGTGAGTGAAAGGGAGAAGTCCCGGGAAATTCTGAGACCTATGGTCTAAATAACTGAGAAAATCATGCACAGAAATAGGAAATTGAGAATGACCCTATTTTGCAGGTGATGAACACCAGGAGCTTAGTTTTAGATGCACTGAGTTTGAGATAACATCTAAAGTGGAAATGTTTTCAATAAGAATCTTGGAAATGAGAGAGTGAAACTCACAAAAGGAATAAAACTGGACACACAGGTTTACCCAAAATCATAATGGCCACTGATCACCACGTCACCAGCTTGGCAAACACCAAATTCACTGCACCCTGTTATAATCCTGGGAGGCAGGCACAGTTACCGGCATTTTACAGAGGGAGTCCCTGAGGCTTAGAAAGTTTCTATAACTTTGTCTGCGTTTACATAACTAATCATCAGCAGCCAGGATTTGAACCCAGATCTGTTAAGAGCTCAAGCTTTCATGCAACCTCTCAATAAATCCTCAGTAGCTGTAGGAAGTGGTCCTATTACCATCCTCATTTTATAGACAAGGAATTATAGTCACAGACAGGTTGGGTAATTTGGTACACTTATACAGCTGGTAAGCAAGGGAGTCAAGATTTGAATCCAGGCAGTCCTGCAATCTGAATCCACATTTTCAACTACTATGCTCTAGAAGAGTTAGAGACTGGCTTCCCAATACTTATAGGACTTAACAAATGTGATTTTCTTTTTATGTTGAACAATGAATGTGCGAAGATCTGGAAGACCTGCATAACTCAGTGACCTAATATTTTCCAAATGACCAGCGCTTGATGTTACAAAATCACGTGTGTGTAAAGATTCATTCAAAGTGCAAGGCAGACCAATAAATTTGCACATAACAAAAGTATGAAAAGTTCACTGATGTGGTTTCAGATTCGACAATGCAACTTTAAGAATCTACCCCTTGTTGAGTTTGGGTGTAGCATCAAAGAAGAGTAGCCACAAAAAAAACACCTCCCTTCTCCAACTACTCATCTGTGGAACTTCAGATTTTCTTCAACTATAACATATCACAACATATTAAATGCAGAAAAAAAGATGTGAGAATCTAGATATCATCAACTAAGTCAGGCATTAAAGAGATTTGCAAAAATGTAAAACAAAGACACTTCTCACTAAATATTTTGTTTTAGGAAATATAGCTATTATTCATTAAAATGTTACCTATGTTAACATGTTATAAGTTTATCATTATTTTTAATGAGTTAATAAGTATTTTTAAATTTCTCAGTTTTAGTTTCTATTAAATATTGATAGATCAAATCCACATCAAACAAAAGAATATTGCCCAGTATCACTGTTATACACTAGTACATATATGCATCTTAGACTGTCATATCTCATTGAATCCTGGCCACCCTATAAGGTAGCTGGGAGTATTCCTGCTTACCAATGTCGAATTAAGTCTGCAAAGTCAATTCCCTTGCCTCACATACTCCAGGTAGGAAGTGGCCAAGCCAGTACTGGAAACCAGGTCTGTCTGACTCCGAAGTTTTTCCTTTTATTTTTTACTTATTTATTTATTTTGGCGAGGAAGATTGGCCCTGAGCTAACATCTGTGCCAATCTTCCTCTATTTTGTATGTGGGACACCACCACAGCGTGGCTTGATGAGTGGTGTGTAGGTCTGCTCCTGGGATATGAACCTGTGAACCCCAGGCTGCCAAAGCAGAGCACGTGAACTTAACTACTACGCCACCGGGCCGGCCCCTCAAAGCCTGTGCTTTTAATTGCTACACTCTGAGTCCATGAGTAGGTGTCAAAACATGACAGGCTTTCCATAAATGTCAAGCTGTCGGATGTTGAGAACAACTGACATTTTAAAAGGGATGAATAGAATTGCATGACTTACTTTATATATCTCTTCATATGTTTCTTCATCAATTTCTATAGTAGTCACAGTTTCTTCTACATCTCCCAATATCATATTTAAATGCTGATCATAAGCCTGAAGTGGGAGGGTGCGGGACCAAGAAATTTAATAATCAAATTAAGAAACAATGAATAGGGCTTACAATATGCAAATGGCTCAATTACAAGTAACCACAATACTTATACCACAAACTTTCACACACAAATAAAGATAATCCTGCTGTACTAATATACTGTTTCTCTGCAAATCATTCCAACAATAACTTAATTGACCTGATAAAAATACAACACTATGTGGCCAAAAATGAATTTACTCAAAATAACTTGAAATCATTTTTAAACTGTCCACCCTACTTGTTATTCAAGGCAGCCACATCATTTATAATATTTAATTATGAAAAACAGCAAATTCATCACTTTTCAGTAGAATTCTTTCAACTCCCTCTGGAACAGTGTGACAAGAAAGGTACAGTAAAGGAGATAAAATTCTTCAGCTGCTAAGATGACGGCAGTGCAGTCTCCTAAAGGCATGAGACACTGCCATTCAACCCTCCCTGTCTCAAACTAAGCACCCCAAGGTAAAGCAAGTAGAGCAACACCCCGCCCGTTTACAGCCTAGCTACAACCGGCACCTGTGGGCTCAATCAATAAATGGTGCAACTCAGATATTCAGGGATGTCCTCATTCCAAGCTCCAAAGCTCATGCATTTTACTAAAAGGTGAACCTTCGGGGACCTTGTTCCAAATGCACTTACACTTACTTCTAACAAGGTGTTAAATGGTTCACCAGCTCACACCAAAATGAAAGCGGCTGCCAGGCAGAGCACACCAACAAGAGCAAAGATCTACAGATACGGGCCAGAGAACAAACAGACAGAAGCCTGGGGGCCATGCAGGATAGAGGCAACTGAGTCTAGGCAGGGAACTGGAGATGCCTCCAAGAGTTAAGGCAACACGTCTGTCCTGGGGTGTCTCTCCATGTGCCAGTGGCCCATGTGATTAAGCTCAATTCTATTTTTCCTGGCAAAGGTGTTGCGATTCCATTTCCTGGGGTTCCTCTTCCCTCAAGGCTAGCTGTATATTAAGACTACTGCCTCCCTAAGCCCCTACTTCCTTTCCAAGCACAGGAGCTTCTTTGCCTTTAGGTTTTATGGAAGGTAGAATCATAGTACTTAAGAATGGGGCTGAAGTCAGACAGCCTAGGTTCATACTCTGGCCCTCCCTTTACAGGCTGTGTCACCTTAAGCAAGTAACTTCACCTTTCTGAGCCTGAGCTGCCTCAAATGCAAAACAGGCATAATTACTATCTACCCGCACAGGGTTGTTATAAAGATTAAATGAGATATTACATACAAAACACTTCGAATAATAGTACATGGCATATAATAAATGCTCAATAAATATTAGCTATTTTTAATCACTGTAGGGCAGAATGAAAGTAATAAAAATGACATACTCAGGAAAGTAACAAGTTATCAAGAAGAGGCAAAACCTTCAGTATGCTCTCTTTATAAATAAATAGGACCACTTCAGGGGACCAATGTTGTAGAAATATTTGCAGATATACAAAAAGAAATACGTACAAAAATGCTTACTGTACCATTATTTATAGTAGCAAGAAATGGAAAACCATCTAAATATCACTACCATCAATACAGAATTCTATGCAGTCATTAAAAAGAATAAAGGAGATTTACAGGCACTCATGATCAATAATTTCCAAGAGTAAGTGAAAAAGAAAAGTGCTCAAAATATAGTAATATAGCAAGATCCCATTTACTTTTTTCAGAGGTGGTGTATGTGGTGCAAATATACGCATATGAACCCATTTATACGTACACACATGTAAAGACAGGGAAAAGATCTGAAAGACTATACACGACTTTTAACAGTGGTTACCAATTGAAAAAATGGAATTTCACCTTTTACTTTATGTATTTCTGTGCCATTTTTTACAACCAACTACAAATTTACGTACATGTCAGTAATTTAAAGAAGTTTTAAATAAGAATACAGGACAAGTAAATGTTATTTACAAATAAACAGAAGGAATAAATGAAAGAAATGGATATGTTCTTTAATAAACACATCATTTCTGTTAACAGAAAATAGGTTAAAAATATGAATAAAATAGTTGTATTCAGCTTGCAGAAATATAGGTGACTTTCCACCTCCCTCTTGTCTACATTCAAAATGCTCTTCCACAGTGGACAGTTTTTACATTTTAAGGGGGAAAGGGTAGGTGGGATGACAAAGCATAATCTGATTTCCAGGTAATTTAATAAATTTACTCACATGTAATCTACCTCGAAGCTCTCTGTCGTTTCTCATTTTCACATAAATTCGCTCATCCAGGCTGAGCCTGATCAGATCCAAGGGCTCTTCTACGGTGTTGGTAGTTTGTTGCTGATAAAAGAAACAGGCTTAGTAAATACAGTAGTAGGGAGAGCATGGTGTTCAAATCACTGCTATGCTGTGTGACTGCGGGCAAGTTACTTAACCCCTCTGTGCCTCAGTCTCCTAATCTGTAAAACGTGGATAACAATAGTGCCTACCCAGGACTGCTGTTGTGAGTCTTAAACGACATATATGAAGGCTTAGAATGGTGCCTGGCACATACGTGCTACATAAACGAGAGCCGAAACACACATACACAGGAAGGAGTTAAACACAAGATAATCACGACTGCACTTTGTTCTCTCAAAACCTAAACTACCTGACCCAATTTCAAGGTTTAGGGAGTCACTCTCAGAGACTTTAGCCCTACCTCCAATATCACTTAGTAATTTGAAAAACATTCACTTAATGACTACCACACACTAGTCAGAATGCTAAGCAAGGATAAGGGTTTGAGGGAAGATTACGAGTTCAGTACAGGGCAGGCTGAGCTTAGGGTGCCCAGCGGCCAGTAGGATGACTACCTTTAGCAGGAAGCAGAGAATACTGGTGGAAAGTACTAGCTTTGGAGTCAGGCAGCATGGGTTCAGCCGCTGACTCTGCTACTTACAAACTGAGATTAAAAATCATGCCGTCTCTAATTGTCTCCTTGTTTGTAAAATGAAGCAGCCAGAATCTTCCTTTCACGATTCTTGTGAGGATTAAATGAGCTAATGTATTTAAAACAGTACCTCGTAAAGAGAAAAGTACCAATAAACGGTTGAAGCTATTACTACTAGGGAACTGTTGGAAACACAGGTCTCAGAGAGATGAGGGTGGGATGACTTGGATTCATGCATAGGGAAAGGAGAAGCCAGGAGAGTTGATACGATTCTTGAGCTTCTTCAGTGAGCACATGAGGCCAGCGGAGGAGAGTGACTGAATGCTGCAGGCTCCACAGCGTGAAAAGGCTAGATGGGGAAAAAAATCCTGACTTCAACAGGTCCCCTCCTCAGTGGAACAGGTGTTTGTTAAGGGCCAGCTAACCAATACCGGATTAGAATACTACAGAAGTCAGTCCCTGCTCTCAAGGAGCTCATTTTAGTGGGGAGAGGCGCATAAATAACTACTATACTGTAAGAACAGACTCATGACAGAGCCCTACTGCTCCTTCAGCCTCAGTCTGGGATGCCCACTGTCCAGCTTTTAATCCTGTAGCTTTAAGGACTGCCTTTTCCAAGAGGCCTCCCCGATCATCCAATTCACTCACTCAGTAACTATCTGAGTGTTTCCGGCACTGTTCTAAAAGCCGAGGACAGAATAGCGATTAAAACAAAACTCTTGTTCTCAAGGACCTCACATTCCAGTGCGGGGAGAGAGACATTAAACAAAGCAGCATACACGTGGTATGAACAACTAACATGCTTTGAAGAAAAATAAAGCAGCCTGGGGAAGAGTGCTATTTCCTCACCTCTTCGATGAGGTGAGATTTCACTAGAAAGCTGAAGAAGCTGTGGCCTGATCCACAAAGATATCTGAGGAAGAGCGTTTTGGGAAGAGGGAAGAGCAGGTGAGAAAGCCTGCAGGACCGTCAGTTATTCAGTATACCAGGTCCTTGCTCGTGTGCTCCATACCACACCGTTCCTACATAACGCACGTATTTATGTTTACTTTTCATCTGTCCTCCCCAGAATATAAGCTCCAAGTGGGGACAGGGATCACGTACGTCCATGCCGGTGTCCCTGGTGCTTAGAACGGTGTCTAGGCAAACGCTGATGTTCACTACGGATTTGCTGAATGAGTAATAATTGTTTCGCCCTTAACTTTACCACCACGCTTTCTTTCAGGATTTCGACAGCTCCGTGAGGCAGACAGGGATAATTATTTCCATTCTACTGATAAAGGTGAGCCTCAAGACAAAGGAAGCGACGAGCGGGAGGCATAACTAGTTTTCAGGCGGGCTTCGGACAGGAAAAGATCTGAGGGCCTGAGGCAACAGTCGGAGGGGGCGCGGTTACCAACGGGCCGACTAAGGCCACGAAGACCTGGGAAGAGGCGGCATGACAGGCCACCTTCTCGCGAGTTTGCAGAAGACAACCCTGGCACGCACAGCCGAGCAGGCCCAGGGCTGGGAGCCGGGAACCGCTCCGGAGCGAGCTCCGAAGAAGTCACTCACCTGATCCACGTCGTCCGCCATGTTTCAAACCCTGCGCTCTTTCCCGCCTCTCGCGAGAGTACGCGAGCCCCCGCCCCCCCGTCTCCGGAAACGCGAGGAAGCAATGCACCGGAAGCACAAAGAGAACTGTTTTGCACCTTCTTGCTTCTTGAGGTTTGCATTGGTCGTTTGGAGCTGGGGCGGAGCTTCGCCCGGGGGTGGAGGCTCGGCCCGTAAGGAAGGGGCGTGGCCGTGCCTCGCGCCACCTGGGCCGCCGCCCGCGGCTTGGTGCGTCACGCGTGGGGAGAGTCTTGCCCGGGCAACATGGCTAGGAAGCGCGCAGCCGGCAGCGGGCGGCGGGGGCGCGAGCCGCGCGGCCAGAAGGCCAAAGGCGAGAGCGCGGCCCGGCGTGAGCAGAAGGAGGCGGGTGAGAGCGAGGCCGAGCCGGGCTTAGGGGGAGATGCCGGAGGAGGGCAGGGGACAGGCTCGGTTGGGGGAGCGGGGAGCCGGCGCCTGGAGGTGGAGGGTCGAGGGAGACAAGCGGGGGCCGCTGCCCGGGTCCTCCCCGACGTCGTTGCGTCTCCTCCGCGCGAGGAGCGCTGCGCCCTGAGCGGCTCCCCCGCCCGACCCGACAGGAGCTCCGCTGCGTAGCCTCTTTGCTGCTGCCTGTTGCCCACAGGATAAAGTCTAAGCCTTCTGGCAAATGCACAGGGCTGGACAGGCGAAAGGCAGTGCAGTTATTTTGTGTCCGCAGAAGACGCATGGACCAGGACGTAGAGTGCAGTGGTGTGCTGACTCCCAGACTATCTTCAGCTAAGTCTCACCCAAGAGTTCGAGGTTCGGAGCCAACCTGACTCTTGCACGTGGATTTCCAATAGGCGTCTTATATGTGCCATGGGCAAAGCAAAACTCTTGGTTTTCCCCGGTACACCTGTTCCTTCCCCACACTTTCCCATCTCGGTAAATGATCCCTTCACCCAGTTGTCAGAGCAGACCCCCCTTTTCCTTGCACGCACACATCCTGTGAGCGAGTCCTGTCAGTTCAACCTCAGAACTATAGCTCCAATCTCTCCACTTCTCTTTATTTCCGCGGCCACAGCCCTTGTCCAAGCCACCATCACTTCTCAGCTGAAGGATCGCAGTCACCTCTTCACTGGTCTTCCTACTTCCTTTCGTTCCTCTGCAGTAGTACTCTGCTCACCAGCCCAAAGGATCCTTTAAAAAAAAGGTCAGATCGTGCCGTGCTCCTACTTCAAACCCTCTGTGGCTTCTCTTGGTGTAAAGTCCAGCCAGATTCCTCACCGTGGCTTACAAGACCCTACTTGATTTGGCTGCTGCTACCTCTCCTGTTGTCTCCCACCACTCCTCCTTGCCAGATACTCTCCTTGTTGGCCTCCTTTCTGTTCCTCAAACATGCCATGTTATTTCTCACCTGGAGCCTTTGCCTTTGATGTTCCTTCTGCCTGGAATGTTCTTCATGGCTCTTGTCATGGCTGATTTCTTCTGTTCCTTCAGGTCTCAACTCAGACACTCCTTGAGCATCTATCTAAGATGGTCTTCCCCAGGCCCTCTTGATCGCATAGGCCCTCAAGCCCTTGTCACAGTCTGTAATGATCTTGTTAATTTGCTTGCCTCCTTTTTGATTGCTTATCTTACTAGACTTTAAGTTTCATGAAAGCATGTCTTATGTTTGGCTATATTTTATCTTGTCATCAGCCCCCCCCCCCATACTAAGTGCTCAATAAATATTTTAAGTAGTTGCGAAATGCATGCTTTGGAAAGGATTTCTGGGCTTCCTGATAACTGGGTAGAAGATTAGGTAACCAGCAAGGACTCTGACACTAGATTCAACAATTCTGTGATTCTGTATATAAGTTCGTTGTCTATTAGGAAATAGTCAAATGGTAACCATTTCTAAACTTAGAAGGTGATTTACCTCACAATTAATGAGTTCCATTTTATGAATTCATTTACTCATTCAGATAACATTTTTTGAGTGTGTACTATGTGCTGTACATGAGCTAGATGACATCGGAGAGAGCTTTCTTGGAAAAGCTTAGAGTGTGTAGTGTTGACATTTACAAAAAATACCCAAGGCAGAATACACAAGGTGTGGATATCATGGGAGAAGATACAAGGCTTTGTGGCTTCTGAATAATCACGTTTGACTGGAGAGATTGGGATGTGCTCTCTGGAGGAGTGATGTGTGATGCGTGATTTAGGATGGGTGATATTCAGCAGATGGCTGTGAAAGAGGGTTGGTGCTCTAGTCAGACGGAATGCATTCTGAATATGTGGCAATTCAAAGATTAAAATCATTCCTCCCAGCTAAACACTTCACCTGGCACCAGCTTGGTATAGCTCCAATGCTGGGTACTTATATACACTTAGGTAAACTATTTTGGACAAATAACTTAGTGTCTCTGAACCTTGTCTGTGAAACAATACTCCCTTGCAGGGTGGTTGTGAGTTTTCAGTAAGCATATAAGGCTCCTGGCATGGTCCATCTTAGGACATCATTTGGGTTAGCTCTAACAGTTCAGCTTAAATGTGAAGATGCCCCCAGGTTTTGCTCAAACGCTGCCAGGCCGAGGAGCTGCCGGTCAGTTCCCACGGTGGCCTCCGGGAGGAGCTGCGGTCTTTGCTGTGGGTGAGCAGGGGAGCAGGTGTGGTGTGGGCCGCAGGTGCCGCTGACTCGGTGATGGTCGAGTGCAGGTTCTAACAGCACTTCCGTGCATGCAAATGAAGGGGACACTTGGCTGCTTTCAGCAGTTAGGGACAAAGAAAACATTATTTCTTCCACATTATTTCCTTGTTTCTATTAGGGCAGCTCTGGTTTCTTCATATTTCTTCTCTGTTAATGCTTTCATTGATGTAATTCATTAATTCCTTCAACAGATATTTGTTGAACACCCACTATTTCCAAGCGCTGTTCCAGGTACTGGACTTACAGTAGGGAACAGAACAGGCAAGGTCGCTGCTCTCATGATGCTTGTAATCTTTGGGGAGGGGTGGGGAGGGCAGACAATAAGACGTTAAAAACTCGATTCACATGGTGATAAGAGCTATGAAGAAAATAAAGCAGGTTGCTGTAATGAAACAGACGTAGGGGTGGGGAAGAAGCAGCTAAGTCCGAATCACTGGTCAGAGAGGGCCTCTGGGAGGAGGTGTCATTTTGAGCCAGTTGCTGATGCCCTGAAGGAGCCATTCAGGGAAGTTCTGGGGGAAAAGGCAGAGGGAACAGTAAGGTTAAAGACTTATGGGAGGGAATGAGCCTGGCCGTGTGGCTGGACACAGTGAGTGGGGGGGCGAGTGGTAGGAATTGAGGTGAGAGAGGTTGTCAGGGCCCTTGGCTTGGGGACCAAGCTGAGGAGTCTGTGTTTTATTCTAAGTGCTGTGAGATGCCGCTGGACGGTTTAAGCAGGTGTTCTTATTGAATCTCAGTTGATGGCCAGGCAAGCCGTGGTGGTGATCCCTGCCCTGCGGAATGGCCGCGCGGAGCTCAGGGAGGCTGGTTAGACATGTTGGATAACTCGGGGTCTCGGAGGGTCCTGGAAAGTAGCCTCTAGATTCTCTGGGACCAAAACACACAGCAGAGGATAAAGAAAGAGAAGTCGTCCGTATTTCTACCATCAAGAAGTAACTACCACCAAGTAATGGCATTATTTCCTTTTAGTCTGTGTTTCTTTATGCAGTGGAAACCAATATAACTGAGTTATATTTCATCGTGTGACTGTACCGTAATTAATGATTATCTCATGATTGGAATTCAGATTATTTTTTAAACTTTTGGATATTATTTTGATTCAGTTTTTTGTTTCCATTCCTTCCTCCTTTTCACTCCTCTACCTCTCTTCAAAGAACAGAAATATACAGTGGGCCTTTTAACCAATCAGATCAGTTTGGTGAGGAAGAAACAGTGCCTCTGAAGCGTCCTCCCCCCTGTGTTTTTAGATTAGTAAAGAGTCTTGGCATCTTTGCTTATTAATAGAGAGCTAAAGACCATCGATAAGACCCAGAAATCCTGATGTTAAGGGCACCCTGCTGAAACCGTCTAGTCCGAAACCTTTAAGCAGCTTCCGGTCTTGGAATAAGAAATCTATTCCCCAGATGCTAAATAATTAATTTTGAACTATTTTGTTTTTCAAAATTTCGCATTTTTTGTTTGTGTCTCCATTAAAATGTTTAAGACACAGGAATGCATAAATTCTTTTAGAAGACATCTTGAAGAAACAGCTGGATCGGTGATTCTATCTAGCATTAAAACAGATGCCCTATAATGTGAAATTTGTTTAAAGTATGATTTTATTTAGATTGAAAGGTGGGTCTTTTTCCCATATGCAGAAGTATATTCGTGGAGAATATAAATATCCGGAGAGTCAGGACAAACCACAGATGAAAAGAATGAATTAATTTGATATTTAGGTTAATATTGCAGCCCCTTTTAGAGCCTCAGTGAAGGCTAGAGTATTTTTGTTTTACAAAATTAGTTGAAGCAGAGTCATGCAAAGGCAAAGGAAGATTTATTTCAGAATCAAGATCATTTGCATGAATATATTTGCGAAGTAGAAAAATATCCTCCCCTGCCATATTATTTATTAAAATTAATTTACTAATATATTCATAGGTTAATAGATTATACTTTTAGATCCCCTAATTTAATTAAAACCAACAACTTAGGCATTTTTTACATTTCCCTTTAACAAAAACAATAATGATTTTAAGAAAATAAAGACATTTTTGAACTGCTGCCATCCTCTTCCAGCCCCAGGGTGGTTGGGATACCAGAGCCATTCAGGTTAGGTTGGCAAGGTCTCATAGCAGTGTGTCTTTGGAGCAGAGAATGGTTCTGAAAGCTCACAGAAACGTGCATGAGTAGGAAGAAGGTTATAGTAAAACTTGGACATGTTGATGAACTTGAAACATTTCACTTAATAGGGGCAGATTATCCCTAAAATAAATAGTTTTAGCAGGTCGTAAATAAGCAAGGTGTTAATAAACGGATTGATGTATTTTCCTTGCTGGATATTAGCTGAAATTTAAGATTTGGAAGTTAGATTTGGTTTGAGTCAGGTGGTGGTCTCTCTGTAGCTTAGGAGGAGTAGAATAAAATGCTGATGAAGAAAGATGGGTTTTACTGTGAGCATAGAATGTAGACTAGCCCGAAGAGGGGGAGA